GGGCCTTTCCCCTCTAGGGGGTGCCAGCTCCCACCCGGCCCCAGGGCGGGGACTGGCTGGCTCAGGGGGTGGGCAATGGGACACAGGCCCTTTCCCTTCTGTGGGATGCTAGTTCCCACCCGGCCCCAGGGCGGGGACTGGCTGGCTCAAGGGGTGGGGATTGGGACCTTTCCCCTTTATGGAGCACCAACTCAGATCCAGCCCCAGGGCAGGCACAGGGAATGCGACAGGGGTCCTTTCCCCACTGGGGGGGCCGGCTCCCATCCACCCCAGGGCAGGGACTGGCTGGCCCGGAGGTGGGCAGTGGGACCCGGAGCCCTTCCCCTCCAGGGCACTGTGTGTAACCTCTCTCCCTAGGTGGGGTTCGGGATCGCGGAGCTGCAGGTCAAGCGCTGTGCTCTGCAGCTCGCCAGCGCCCTGGAGTTCATGGGGGCCAAGGGGCTGGTTCACCGCGATGTCAAGCCTGAGAACGTGCTGCTGCTCGACCTTGAGTGCCGGCGTGTCAAGCTGACCGACTTCGGGCTGAGCTGCCCGCAGGGCACTGCCATCGAGGCCCTGCCTGAGAACTTGCCCTACACAGCACCCGAGCTGTGCCGCCTGGGGCCCTCGGCCCGCCTGCCGGCCCAGCCCAGCCTGGACGCCTGGGCGCTGGGTGTGCTGCTCTTCTGCGTGCTGACCGGCTTCTTCCCCTGGCACACGGCCGCCGACCGGCACTACCGGGACTTTGAGCGCTGGCATCGCAGCCCCCGCGTCCGCCCGCGCCCACCCCACTGGGGGCGCTTCACCTACGAGGCCCGGGAGATGCTGCGAGGGCTGCTGGACCCCGACCCCATCCGGCGGAGCCCAGCCAGCGTTGCCATGGCCCACGTCAAGTGCCCCTGGCTGGAGCCCCAGGAGCCGGGCGCTGCCCGTGCAGACAGGACTCTGCTGGGGAGCAGCCATTGCCGCTGAGCCCCAGCCCCGTGGGCACTGCCGCCAGGCACAGGCACCCGCCATGGCCAAGGGGACGCAGGGACCAAGGACTTGCAGGACACGTTGCTTAGCAGGGACCATGGCCAGAGGCTGGTGCTGGGGGCCTGGCCTGGGGGATTGCAGAGAAGGTGAGGGAGGAGGGAGGGTAATAAAATCACGATCCTAACACTAACGGCTCAGAGCTTCCTTCACCATACCAGAGCAATGGGGCCACCTGCCTGACACCACCCCCCACGACCCACAAAGCCCCAGATCAGACCCATGGCCCATCCCCGCTCCTCAGCCGCTGCGTTCGTCCCACGGGCCCCAGGCTGATGTTATTGGCCTCAGCCGCCATGGACTCTCTGAGCTGGGCCAGCTGCCCACTGTGGGAGAGTATGGGGCAGGAGGGCAGGGACTGAGACCCGGGGCCGTAGTGGGCAGGCGGGCAGGGACTGAGACCCGGGGCCGTAGTGGGCAGGAGGGCAGGGACTG